GCACGCGGCCCGGGCGTCGCCGCGCAACCCCTCGGGGTCTGACGCTGCTCCAACGGCCGGAAAATACCAGATGCTTCGCGCGCGCGAGAATTCCGTTGCGCAGCGAAACGGTGGCACACTCCCCGCGCCGAGCATGTAAAGCGTGCCAAAGGCGTTGCGTTCTTTACCCCCCCCGTTTGTAGACCCCCCATTACCACTCACCCGCAGGGCATCCGGCGTCCTTGGCCGTTTGGTGGTGCTGTGCTGTGGAGAACAGGTGGGCAACGGCGCGGAGGAGCTCCTCCGGGGCAACGTACAGCTCGCGGGAGTGATCGGCGGCGAGACCGCGTGGGCGCCGCCAAACTCCTCCCCGACCACTCGGTCACGTGGCTGGTGCAAACGTCGGGGGCGGCCCAGTGGGGAGCGTCCAAGAGTCTGGGGCGCAAATCATGGCTGGCGGCATGTGCGCGGCCCAAGAGGGGGCCAGGGACGTAATGAAATAAGAGGAGGCGCCATGAAATGTGAGGAAATATCATGGCCCACGCCATGATGTCCACCCCCCCTAGTCATCACCCCCCTCTTGGCCGCCCCCGAGAGTGGAAGAAGCCCAATATCGCCTCGAGGATATGCCCCAGGCCTTCGGCGCCCCCGCGAGGACAGAGAATCGTCAGGCCCAGGAGGGCACGAAGGCCCAGGAAGCCGAAGGGCGCGCCCCGGGCAGAGCTGAGCCGACCAGCCACACGCCGTGCTGCCTGGTAGCCAAGGACCGCCCACTAGGCTTAGGTCGGGCATGTCCCCCTACATGCAGACTTTGGACGAAAAATAAAAATAGTGAAAAATATGAAATAATGGTCAAAAACTAATCAAAAAAAAGGTCCCTACGTTATTTTGGAACTATTCTGGGATATTCCTCCCGTAGAGGGACGTGCCCGACTACGGGGTCGGAGGGTCCTTGTGTCTCTGACAGGAGCATGACAGGACGCTCCAGACGGCCAGGCGGGCACGCCTGGTCGAGGACGGGATGCAGCCATCGACGATTCGCCACGCGCGCGGCAAGCCAGGCGTGTGCATGCAAGCAGATAAGGAGGTGGTCGCCAAACTCTAGATTTTTGTCGAATTGAGAGCCCAGGCCTGCAGCTTGACCACATCAGGAAAAAATACTCTCCCAAACATCCGATCTGTCAAATATGTGTGGCCGGCCAGGGGCCGCCAGGAACTTCCTGAAGCCCCCGCGGACCGCCGGTGCCAGGGGGTGCCCTCCCCCTGGGAACACCGCTGGGCACCTCCGAAAGGCCCGCTTGAGAACCTTCTGGTAAGAGATGGCCCCCATCGCCGCCAAGCCGCCGCCGTCGCTCATGATCGCCCGTCGTCCGTCGACGGTCGTCGTCGCCTCCTGGGAGCCACGGATTCGGGATCGATTTTCAGCGGCAATCGTCGTCGTCGCCTTTACCGGCGTCGTCGTCGCCGCCGTCGTCGCCGTCGCCCTCTCGTCGTCCACCGCCGCCGTCGCCGCCATCGTCGCCACCGCTGTCAGACGACAGGCCTCGACTAGAGATCGGCCCCCGTCCCGGCCACGCCTCGCCAGCTGCGCCCTGGCCCGCGGCGACGCGAGCCTCGAGCCAGGAGCGTCCAGACGGGGTCGTCCGACTCTGCGACGCTGCTGGCGCCGCCGGCGCCGCCGTCGTCCGCCACCCGCCCTCCGTCCCTCCGCCGCCGCGCTCGCCGTGCTCGCCGTGTGCTCGCCGTGTGCTCGCAAGGGCTCGGTCCGCCGGCCGCCGGCGACCTCGTGGTCGCCGCCGCCGTCCGCCGCCCGTCCTCCGTCCATCCACCTCATCGTGCGCTCGCCGTGCTCGCCGCCCGCTCGCCGTGCGCTCGCCGTCCGCTCGCCGTGCGCTCGCCGTCCTGCGCTCGTCGCCGCCGGCCGCCCGCCGAAGCCCGCTCGTCGGCCCCCCCGAGCGGCCCGCGCCCCGTCCAGCGGCCGCACGCGGCAGGCCGAGCTGACGGGCGGCAGCACCTCTCCCGCGCGCGCGGGGTGGGAGGGGGCATCGGGCCCTCGAGGTCGGGGAGCCGTCCTCCTCGCTCCTCGCTCCTCATCGCTCCTCGCTGCTCCTCGCTCCTCGCTCCTCCTCGCTCTTCGCTCCTCGCCCCTCCTCCTCCTCCTCCTCCTCCTCCTCCGCCTCCGCCTCCGCCTCCTTTCTCTCCTCCTCCTCCTCCTCCTCCTCCTCCTCCTCCTCCTCCTCGTCCTCCTCCCCCCCCTCTCCTCCTCCTCCTCCTCCTCCTCCTCCTCCTCCTCCTCCTCCTCTTCTTCTTTTTTTTATTATTAGTACTATTAGTATCAGTAGTATTCTTCTGACTATTAATATTATTAATATTAATATTCTTAATATTATTATTCTTGATATTAATATTAGTAGTATCCTTCTAATTCTTCTGACTAATATTAGTACTATTATTATTAGTAGTAGCAGAGTAGTGGCATTCGTATTATTATTATTCTTAGTAGAATGATTATTCTTATGTT